GGGAACATGATTTTAGTCAAAGGAATAGCGTGCCATCGCTGGTAAATAGTATAATGGCCAATGAGGGTCTGGCTGGAGAATCTTGCCTACATGCTCGGGGTTCTACTGATCGCCATATTTGGGGTCGGGAAGGAATTTTCCTCCAGAGTAGATTGGCAGAGGCCCTGGAGGTTTTTCGCCTTCCTCCGCAGCATGGGGCGGGGATCGCTAGCTGGAGGATTCTCTGCTGATTGAAGTCTCCAAACCACAGGATTTGGGGACTTCAACAGCAGAGGCAAGGGGAAGGGTTGGGACGGCTTTGTGGCCTGTATCATGCGGGAGGTCAGACTAGATGATCATAATGGTCCCTTCTGACCTTAAAGTCTATGAGTCTATGAGTCTGTGGGTTTTCCTGGCTCCGCTGCCATGCGGGTGATGGACTGTGGCTGGCTGCAGCTCCCACCACTCAGGAAGACACGTGTTTTAGCACAGCCTGGGGCCCTGTCCAGCTGCCCTGGGGCCCTTCTTGACCCAGCAACCCTGGAGGTGGATTTGGCCCCTCTAGTTCTGTGGGGAGGAGGGGTGGGCGCCATGTCATAGTGGGGCTGGCCAGGTGGCTTTGCACCAGGGATCCTGGCTATTTTATTCACTTAAGCCTCAGAGTGCTAAGAGGTGCTCACTCCTCCTCAGCGCCTGGCTGAGTGCTGGAACACAGGGTGACCCCCACAGGTGGCATTGCAGGCATGCCCCTCCCTCCTGCTGTGAGCTCCCACGCCAGCTCCTGCCATGGCCCCATCCCTTCACTTATTCCTGGGCCATGGGCCAGGTAGGGAGCAGTGGGTGGGCAGAGGCAGGGGGTTGCCATAACAAGGACAGGCTGCTCTGTGTACAAGACAGTACCTAGCCAGGGTTCTCATGGGAGCAGCTCCCTCTGCACCACTGACCTCGTTAGTACAGTAACTCCTCACTTAACGTTGTAGTTATGTTCCTGAAAAATGCGACTTTAAGCAAAACGATGTTAAGCGAATCCAATTTCCCCATAAGATATAATGTAAATGGGGGGGTTAGGTTCCAGGGAATTTTTTTTCACCAGACAAAAGACTATATATACACACACACGGTATAAGTTTTAAACAAATAATTTAATACTGGTACACAGAGATGATGATTGTGAAGCTTGGTTGAGGTGGTGGAGTCAGAGGGTGGGATATTTTGCAGGTAATGCCTTACTGCTAAATAATGAACTAGCATTTGGCTGAACCCTCAAGGGTTAATTCGTTGTTAATGTAGCCTCACACTCTACAAGGCAGCAGGCATGGAGGGAGGGGAGAGAGCATAGCAGACAGAGATAGAGACACACACCCTGTGTGTCAGAGAGAGAGAGATGTGCATTTCCCCTTTAAGCTAACCCCAATCTTAAGTACACTGCCTTGTTAATTAGATCAGCTTGCTGAGACTCAGCTGCTGCCTGGAAGTTCCCTCCGTCCTGAACCCTCTCGTGTGTCCCCCCTATGGAAATGGGGTAAGCGGGTCCCCCTTCCCCCCCCGTACAGCAAGCAGGAGTCTCTGGGAGTAGCTCCAAGGCAGAGGGCAGGAGCAGCACATGGCAGTGGGGGGGAGAGACAGCTGAATGGCAGTTGTTAGCCTGCTGGGCAGCTGCAGCACAGGGAACTTAGGGGAGCGGGGAGCTGATAGGGGGCTGCCGATCCACCCTGGTTCCAAGCCCCCACCAGCTAGCTGCAACGGGCTGCTCTTCCTGCAAGCAGTGGACAATGCAGGCGGCTGCCAAACAACGTTAGAAGGGAGCATTGCACAGCTTTAAACGAGCATGTTCCCTAATTGATCAGCAACGTAACAACGAAACAACGTTAACCAGGACGACTTTAAGTGAGGAGTTACTGTACTCGGGCTCTCATTGCCCCACCAGCAGGATTGAGCATTTACCAGGAGTCACCGAAGCCGCTGCCTTGCCCTGATCCCTCCGCGGCTGAGGCACTAACCCCAGACCTCCAGCAGTTTTTTTTCTATCATTTAGTGTATGCATTAAACCAGAAATCCAGCTGAATGGCGATTAGGCGACTCTGTGAGGAGCAGCTCTCATCAGAGAGGCCAGGGTGCCAGGGGTCTATTGTGCCTCACGCAGCCCTGTTTAATTCCAAAGCAGTGTACTTATCCCTTCGGGCCCAGGCTATTCTTAATGTGCTGCTTGCCCATCCCAGTGGCCACACGGAGGAATTTTAAAGAGCTGTTGCTAACCAGGAGCTGCCACGTGTGGCTTGCTGGCTGTGGAAGGCCCTGGCAGCCTGGGCTGCACCCAGAGGCCATGTCCCTGGTTAATAGGGAGGGAATCCTGTGGAAATATGGGTCTGTGTGTGAGATGCAGTATACGTGCTCTGCTCGAGGGGCATCACTGCAAGCCAGCACTGATATTGCTGCAGGCTGAAAGTCCTCATGGCTCACCCTAGCATAGTGGTCTCCAACCTTTTTGCGCACAAGATCATTTTTTGAATTTAAGTACAACCCAGGATCTGCCCTGTCCTGTCCCCAAAGCCCCACCCCACTCATTCCACCCCCCCCCTCGCTCTCCCCCCAAACACACACTTTCACTGGGCTGGGGCAGAGGGTGGAGGTTTGGGAGGATGTGCATGCTCTGGGTTGGAGTTGCGGGGTTCGGACTTTGGGATGGGCTCCGGGCTGAGCCTGGGGCAGAGGTTGGGGTACAGGAGGGGGTGTGGGGTGCTGGCTCTGGGAGCAGGGTCAGGGCTGGGGCGGGGGGTTGGGGTGCAGGAGGGGGTTCAGGATGCAGGAGGGGGTATGGGTTGCTGGCTCTGGGAGGGGGCTTAGCACTGGGGGTTGGGGTCTGGGTTCCCGCCAGGCAGCATTACCTCAGGCGGCTCCCAGTCCGCAGTGCAGCAGGGCTAATTCAGGCTCCCTGCCTGCCTCAGCCCCATGCCACTCCCAGTAGGGGCCAACATGCCCCTGCAACTTGGGGGGGGGGGTTACATGGCTCCATGCACTGCCCCTCTCTGCAGGCACCACCCACCGCAGCTCCCATTGGCCGCAGTTCCACGTTCCCGGCCAATGGGAGCTGCAGGTATGGTGTTTGCAGGCAGGAGCAGCATATGGAGACCCCTCTCTTCCCTCTACTCCTCCTGGGGCTGTGGGGGTGTGCTGGCCACTTCTGGGGGCGGTGTGGGGCCAGGCAGGCAGGGAGCCTGCCTTAGTGACAGCCCTGCTGCACCACCGGACTTTTTGCGGCCAGAGATCGCGATCGGCTGGGAAAGTGTCCAGGACGATCTACAGGTTAGTGACCACTGCCCTAGCATGTCCATGGGGGAGGAGCTGGTGATTTATACATCAGCTTTGTAAAAGGGAATGGAAGAATTATACTTAAATTCCTTGGTTTGCATCTGTTTGACCCAAATTCCTTCTCTTCCCTTCCCTATATGTGCACACGTTTACACACACATGTACACACGCCCACTTGTATACACACTTTGGTCCTGCAGAAGTTGGACCTGGTTAGGCTGCAGCCGTTGCTGTCAGAGCATGGTGTAGTGAGAGGAGCCCTGTACCTCGGAGCCTATTGCATTGACAGGGCAGAATTTGGGGACACTTTCCTGCTGAAAGAAAGCTTCTGTGGGTGAGCTGATGTCGTGCTAGGGGGTTTGCAAGGCGACAGTAGCAGCACAGCGTCTTTCTCTCCTGGTCTGTTTTTGTGAATGAAAGTGACTAATAATTCCCGTGAGGAGAGGGTTACTTAATTAACTTTAAAGTGCCTGGGGAGTGCAGTGGAGTTAGGGTGCATGACATATTGCTATGGGGGTGGAGGTTGGAATCCCCAGGCTGTAGGATTCACGCTGTTCTGATCATGCCTGTGTTGCCCTGTAAAGCCTGTGTATATTGGTGCCCTCTGCTTGGCTTTGTATTGTCTGGGTTTGTTTCCCAGAGAGCACTGGTCAGGCCCAACCGTTGGGCTTTGTCTGCTAAAAGAAAACCCCTCTATTGAACCTAATATGAACAGAAACCTCATGGATAAAACAACGGGGACATTGCTGTGAATTAAAAATGTTGGCTGGAGGTGTTTGCAATCCAA